CAGGGCCTCCCTGCTGCGCGGCCGTCTCCAGGGTGAATGTGCCTAACGGCCGAAAGTCTTATTCCGCAGGGACCGGGCTGAGCCCAGAGCTCTACACCAAACCCTGCACGCTTCTGCGGAGGCCCCCTGCCCTCCCTGTCTGGGTGTCCCCTGATTCAGGGCACAGGTGCCCCTCCCTGCCCCGAGCAGCATGTCACACCAGAACTGGTGAGGGGCCCAGCGACCTGGGTCAGAAAGAAAGGGGGTCACAATACTGGGAAATGCTACAGCTCCTGCGCCAAGATCAAACCTCCAGCCCCACTGCTTGACCAAGAGGGTCCTTCCTGGACCATGCCCCGAGTGCTGCTGGGAATCAGCCAGGCAAAGCCGTGGCTCAGTGGCATGTCCCAGACCCCTCGTACCTCTCGGAGGGCACTCCAGCCCTTGGGAAAGGCAGCGCTGCCGGTGAGCAGGCAGGACCGTCGCTCCAGTGCCAGGAGGGCTTCCTTCTCCTGTGGGGAAAGCAGGAACAGGGAGGGGGAGGGTCGGAAGAGCTCCCCAGCCCTCAGGCCCCCCCTTGTACAGCTAGGGGGCAAGAGCAGAGCCCCCACAGCCACAGCCACCAGAGCAGGTCTGCTCTATAGCCGCTGCCTGGCGGCGTCCACTCGCCCACCTGCTGGAGCTGCTGCAATGCGGCCCTCCGCTCCTCGCGTAGCCGGTCAGCCTCCTGGGCAGCCTGCAGGCGTAGCTGCTTGGCCTGGCTCTCCAGGGCAGCCACGCGTTCCTGCAGCAGGGAGATGGGAAGGACCCTGAGCACACGCTCCGGACATGCTCCAGAAGCGTGGGGCTGGGGCTGGGGCAGCTCACCTTCCGGCGGGCCAGGCTGCAGTGGCTCTCGGCCCGGCTGCGCAGCAGCTGCTGGTTCAGCAGCTCATGGTCTTCCTCCCAGCGGCTCTCCTTTTCCAGCTGCTGGAACTCCAGGTCCTCAAAGAGCTTGCTCTCTGCCTCCATGGCTTCTGCTTCCTGCGCAGGGACACAGCGGCTTAGGAGGAGCGGCTCGGAGGAGGTCAGCTAGCGGCTCGGTGACCTCAGCAGCGCTGGCCTTCGACTGACCGCCGGCGGTCTCCAGCAGGGAGCACGGCCTGGAGGCCTCGTGTCATTTCCCTGAATCGGTGAGCTGGCGTCCTCTAGGCATGCCCACAGCCTACGGGCCGCTTCTTTTCAACTACCCCAGGAATGAATGCCAGAAGCCCCCAAGTCCAAAGTGAGGAGGCCAGAGAGCTGCCCTGGTGCTCCCTCTTCATCCTGGGGGCCCGGCAGGAAAGCGGTGCCCTTCTGACTCCACATCAACCACGCAGGCATGCTGGCCTTGCTCCCTGCCCAGTCCTGCTCTTGATCCTGTTCACAGCCCCACTACGCCTGCCAGAGGGAACGCGGCCGTTGTGTGTGGGAGAGGGAGGGGACCAGCTGCTGCTCAGCCTCCTGGAGGGGCACTCGTGCCGCTGCACCCGGGCTAGCTTCCTGAGGACAGAGTGGCATCCCCTGCCCACTGAAGGTGGGTGGGGGCATGGAGGAGCACTGACCCTTTGCATCTGGTCCTTCAACTGCTCCCTCATTGACTCAGGGCAGTTTTCAAGCTGGCTCCTGAGCTCAGAGTGAAACGCCCGCAGTTCCTCAAGCGCCTTCCTTTCAGCATCAACCTTTGCCCTCTCCTGAAGCCGGGAGAAAACACACAGAGGAGAGAGGGGAGAAAACACGCTTCCCACGAGCAGCCATGCAGAGAGGGGTTAGCAAGGGTCTCGGGGTTAAGGGAGCTACGGGCCCATCTTGCCTCTCCAAGCCTGCTGGCCAGAGGACTGCCAGCCCACCCTCCCAGCAGCTGCCAGGGCAGCCTGTGCCAGCACTAGTGGCTACCCTTTCTCCATTCTTTGTTGCAAGGTCCAGCCTCGGAGACGCCAACATTCTCAGCAGGCGACTATCCGCCCCTCATCTCTGCCCCCATCTTAAAGCTGCCTTGCCCCGTGCAAGTTTGTGCAGTAATGCTGAAGACACGAAACATGTATCTGGCCACTAGAGGAAGTGCAACTCTAGTTCCTGGCGAGGTCTGGGCAGTTGAAAGCTCAGGTGAGTCAGTTAGTCAAGGCCAAAGGAAACACTGCATAAGCGGGACCAACCGAGGTTTGTACCAGTGGTGCACACGGAGAGCTTCCGGAAGATCTGACTCTATGTTTATCCCTCGCTTATGAAAAAAAAAAAAGCTGAGTCCTAGTCTGCAGGACCGCAAAGAGAAGCATGCACTGAAAACACTTTGAATAATGCCAAAGTTTCCAGGGATTGGAAGGACTACCCACTACTGCATCAAGATCAGGAGGATCTTGATGAGTTTGAATGCTGGGCAAAAAGCAATGAAATTCAGCGAGATGAATTTCACCTGGGAGAAATGCAAAGCCTCAATCTGAGTATGAAAAATCAAAGTCGTCAGCATGGGATGGCAGGCGGGGAGGAGAACCATACTGGGTAGGGGTATGTACAAAAAGGATCTGTGGGTCTTGATGGATCACAAGCCGAACATGAGCCACAGTGTGATGCTGCTACCAAAACGCAAACGCCAGCTGAAGCTGCTTCAACAGAAGTATAACGCCAAGACCAAGTGAAATCATGGTTCTTCTTTATTCTGTGTTAATCAGAGCATACCTAGAATACCGTGTCCAGTTCTGGGTACCACATTTAGGATAGACTTTGACAAACTGCAGTGTGTCCCAGAGGAGAGTCACCAAGATGATAAGGGGCCTGGAAGAAATAACCTACAAGGAACAGTTGGAGGTGTTTGTCAGGTATATTTAGCCTGGTGAAAACTGTGGGGAGACATGCTAGCCATTTCCAAATAAATTGTTCAGAGCTGTTCCAGAAGACAGGACGAGAAACAACGATTTTAAATTACAAAGGAGCAGACTTTGGTTGGACATGAGGAAAAAAAAACGCTATCGCCAAGACCTGCCATGAATTAAGACCACCTCGGAGGCGGTGGGCCCTCCTCTGCTAGAGGTGAGGGAGCCCCCGTGGCGGATTCCACGTGGGTGAGGGGTGGGCTGGATGACGTCCGTGATCTCTAACCCTAACCCTTCATGTTCTAAGATGAGCAAAATCAGAATCGATAGCGCAAGATAACGAGCACAGAACAAGCTACGCAAACGGGCCTAATTTAGACTACCCCAGAGCGTCGGTTCCCCTGGGCTGCTCAACTAAGGCACCAAGCTCTCCCATCTCCAGGCCCAGCGGCGCAGAATGCAGCTTCCGGCTGGGTCACGGTGAAGCACCTTCCGGCGTGCAGGGCACAAGGAAGGTAAACGTGTGAGAGGCAGAAAGAGCCGTCCGCAGGATATGCGCTGAGCTGAGGAAACATCTGCAGGCAGCGATCTGCTTTCCCCAAGGCCAGCTCAGAGACTCTCCACGTCAATTGTCAAGCTCTTCTCAGAGACACAGCAGAGACTCCCTCCGACCATGCCAGGATTCCTACGGCCGGACGCCCGCCCTGTCCCTAATGTCCCTGAGAACCCACCCAGGTGGTCCCTTTCTCGGGCAGGGACAAATGCAGAAGAGCAACTGGAGAGAAAGAGGATGCTCTGAGCTGGGGCCCTCCCTGGTTTCTGCAGAACCTCCGGTTCTGCCCACCCCTTAACAAGCAGGCCAGTGATGCCACCCAGGACGGCCTGTAAAGGCCAGGCATGCTCCTGCAAGTCCCTGGGTGGGTCTAGCACTACGGGAAGTGAGGCCTCGCGCCTGCTGCCTCGGGCAGAGCAGCCAACCGAGGCCAGGCTGTGCCTCTCCTGGTCCAGACAACCCCTGGAAGCCGCGAGCAGGCGGAGCGCGAGAGAGAGCAAGAGGGAAAGAGGAGTTAGAACGGTTAGTGTCGGCCCGTGTTAGCGGCCAGGCTTCGGAGAGTGTGCTGCCCCTCGGCTCCCTGGGCGAACAAAGATTGGAGGAAGCCAGGGAACGACAGCCTGCAGGAGCACCTGCCAAGGCGAAAGTGAGCAGCGGAGGAGGAGGGCGGTGCCAGGCCTTTTGCCTCTGGCAAGCCCCATGAGTTCGCCAGGCTGCCTGTGGCACAGGGAAGACTCCTTCCTTGGAGACACACAAAGTGGCTCCTAGGCATTTGGGCAGAGGGAGGGGCTTCCCTCTGGGGCAGGTGAGATCCCCCGCTTCCCACCAGGCCCAGGTCAGGAAAGGGCGGAACCCCCTATGCGAGCAACTGCAGGGAAGGGTGGCTTTGGACATCAGGTCACCCTGAGCGGCACCCGTGGCGCAGCCCCTCCTAGGCTGGGCTGAGCAGACCGGGCCGTCAGCGGGCCTCCCTGGCCAGTTACCTTGTCCCGCTCCTGGCAAATGTTGGCATCCAGGCCAGACAGCTGCTCCTGCAGGAGTTGCGCCATTTGCTGTTCCTGCTGCAGCTGGAAGAGCTCTGCTTCGCACTCGCCCTGCAGGAGGGCCTGCTCCATCTCCGCCTGGGCAGGGCAGAAGGCAGCCGCATGAGCACCAGCAGCCGCTGGCCTCCCCTGCCCCCCAAAGGATGGGGCAGGCGCCGCCAGCCCCTCAGCAGGATGGGCTCCCCTTCACCTCCCGGGCGGTCTCTCGCAGCTGCTGCTCCAGCTCCTTCAGGCGGCTCTTGAGACAGTCCGTGCTGGCCAGGATGCGGGAACGCTCCTCCTCCAGAAGGACCAGCTCTGGAGTGGCCACAGCTGCAAGCGGCACCTCGTGCTGCAAAGCACATGGCAACTCAGCGCTGCCACAGGCTGGCAAGGACTTCACAAGCTTCCCTCCAGAGCAGAAAGGGGCCACCTTCCAGGCCACGGTGCTGCGTGGCAGCTGCTCGGGGTGGGGTACCTCAGGGGACACAAGACCCTCTGGAACTGCCCTTCTCCTCACCTCATGACCGGCACTCTCGGTGCTGCTGCTCTCCTCCTTCAAGCTGTCCTCCTCCGAACGCTCCCTGCCCCCTCTTTCCTGGGGGGGCTTGCTCCCCGGCGAGGGGGCCGCCCGGCCTGCAGCACTGGAGAAGGCATTGCCCTCCTGGCCCGGCTCAGCATCACCCCTTGTGTACTCGGCACACAGGCTGAGGATGGTCTCCAGCCGCTGGCGCTCCTGAGCACCCAAGAAGAAAGCGAGAGCCGCGCAGAGCTGGGTGAGTTGGAAGGGCCGGGCACACAAGCCTCCCCTCGCCCAAGACACTCAGGCTGACAGGCTGTGTTCCCAGGGTGCCTGGCTGATCGTCTGCCTTGCGGACCCCAGCCAGCGCCGCCCAACGCCGTTCTTTCTTTACCAGCCCTCCAGCCAGGAGGGAGCAGGCCGGCTTATAGCAGGGTGCCTGGTTGTTTGCACCAGCTGGGTCAACAAGCAACCCAGATGTGCCTGTGCCCAGCCGATGACCAGGGCAGGTGGGCAGGGGAGGGCAGCTTGCCTAGCAAATGACCCCAAACCTGCTCACGGTGAAGTCAGTGGCGGCGGCGCCTGGGGAAGCAGAGAGCGGGAGGATGGAAGGCACTAGGAGAGCACGTCAAGATGGCTCCAATGAGGGGTGACTGGGGAAGAGGAGGCAGCAGGCCCATTCTTCCTCTTGAACAGGGCACTGGGGCCCCAGGGGCCAGGAGGAACCCAGGGCTCCTCTGCTGGGGGGAAGAAGAGGGCAAGGAGGGGGCACAACAGGGAATGAATGCCCAGGGCAAAATGACGGCTTGGACTGCTTTGGGTGGGCTGAGGGGGGCAACTTTCCTGCCTCGCATCTCAAATGACAGAGGCTGTGCTGCCAACTTGGCAGAGCCAAGCAAGCCCGGCCAGAGCCAGCCAAGGCCGCCTGAGCAACCCCTGGCTTCTGGTCACTGGGCTCGGACAAGCAGGTGCTCGTTGGCCCTGAGCTGACTGGAGGGGAAAGAGTTAACCCCGGGCCAGCAGAGGTTGCCCGGCAAAGGTGGTGGGGGGCAACAGTACAGCATGCTGGGAAAGCCCCATCGCCTTCCGTCCAAAGCGGATCCACATTCTTGGCCCTCCATGGGGCTACAATTCCCCCCCCCCACTCCTCTCTGCCTACAAAGCCAAGTCTGCTCATACAGAATTGGCATGCTTTTCCAACAACCAAGGGCTTGCACTGCGCATCCTTCACGCTGCCCCCCCCGAGTTTCCAGGGGCGATGCTGAAACCCACAGGCTCGGCCCCTGCTCACCAACCGCTCCATCTCCTGCTCTCGGAGGCGCTCCTGGCGCTGCCACCGGTGATATTCCAGAAGATCGCTCTCGTGCCCACTCAGCTCTGAGATGCTCTGCTTGCGCTCTCGCGTGGGGCCCAGCGCCTGGAACCCCTCAGACCTCTTGCGGGTCAGTTGGGGGGAATCTGAGGGCAGGATGAGGGAGCCCAGGCTGGAGGCGGAGCTGAGGGTCTTGCGCTGGGTGGGCTCTCCAGGGAGGCGGGAGGGCGAGGGACTGCGACCCCGCAGGCAGGAGGCGGAGGCAGAAGACCCCTCTCTCCACCAGCCCCTGGGGCTCTCCCCAAACTTGCCCTGCAGGGGCAGGCTGCTTGGGGGGGCTGGTGAGGCTGCCCGGCGCCCCAGGGCTGGGCTGAGAGGAGGCAGTTCCCGCAGGCTCTCCAGAACTGGCTGGCTGAACCGGGGACTCTCAGGGGGCTGTGGGGCCCGGCCTGGGTGAGGGGCAACGCCTGCCAGCTCTGAGGCTTGGCGAGGAGGCAGTTCCCGCAGGCTCTCCAGAACTGGCTGGCTGAACCGGGGACTCTCAGGGGGCTGTGGGGCCCGGCCTGGGTGAGGGGCAACGCCTGCCAGCTCTGAGGCTTGGCAGTTGGATTTCCCTGGCCGGGAAGGGCTGGGTGGTGGCATCTCCTGGAAGGGACTGGGGGCCCGCTCCTGTAGCGCCGCAGGCTTGCTCCGCAGAGTGGAGGGCAGTTGGAAGGTGCTGGCCAAGGGGGGACTATTGGGTGACTGCGGCCGAGGGCTGCCCAGCGGGTTCCCCTTCGGCAGGGGGGAGCTACGCTGGCTAGGGTGGGGATTCTCTACAGGAGGCCGGGCCCTGCGACTTGGCAGGGGGCTTGTGGGGCCCTCCCGCCGAACCCTCCTCTCCCCCTGGGGGCTCCCTGAGCTGCGAGCAGAGCTGAGGGAACCAGTGGGACTGTTCAAGGGATCTGGGCGAGGCCCCCCGTGGGGCAATAATGCGGCATGGCAGTAGCTTGAGGACCGGACAGGCACTGCGGGGGGGAGGGCGGGTGCCTGATCCCGGCCGCCGGACGATGATGGGCTCCGGCAGCTACTGCTGCTGCTGGGTGGGGGGGGGAGGGGAGAGGACGGGGGCGGGGGGGGGGTTTGATTGGGGGGCGCCACAGGAGAGGGGGCCG